GAATCCCCTCACTGATTACACTGTAAATGATAATCTACCTTAACCAAAATCAAAGTAGACTATCACTCACCCACACCAGATGGAAAACTCTACAGACTGTCGGTTCACACCCCATCACAAGCCAGCAAAACATCCACGAAAACAGATATTTATACATATCGGGATGAGAAGTGAGCAGACAAGAAACAAGATAAACCCGAACGATCTCACCTTTATCTACATGTTTTCCGCAGGGAAGCCTCCCTCGAGTACGCACGCGTAAGCATCACGGCATTTTTCCTTTGGGCGAGGCGTCGACCCACACGCCCAAGGGAAGGCATCTTCACAATTCTTTCTCCTCGATCAATCACTCTGTTGCTGTTCCCGCCCTCGGTAATTAATTCAGAAATGTGTATTGTATGTACTATGTAGCACTTTATTCATCTGCTTCCAGCGGCGTCCGAACTCAGGTCCGCATTTCAACAGTTCAGGGGTGTTTGTACCAACTGAGCTACTCCAGTTGGTACTCTGTTGCAGTTCCTGCTCCTCCCCCCCCCCCCCTGCTTGTAGAGCTCCTGACCTCCTGAGCTCAATAAAAAAGATTAAAAAGAATAAAAAATAAAAAATAAAAATAAAATAAAAACGAAAGAAGAGCTCCTCCTTTGTCCACTCCGTCTAACCGCGGCTATTATGGTGATCAAAGGGCTCAACCTCTGCGTGCCACGTGGAGAATCTAGATTTACCCTGGCGTACCCGGTGCGCGAACCAGATCTACACCGGCCACTCCTCCCTCTCCCTTGCCTCCCCCCTACCGATGATTGCAGTCTCTATCGTAAAAGTGTGTAGCGTAGCCAAGGGGCCTCGCTGCACCACTGTCCACTGAAGCACATACCGCGAGGACACGGGGCTGCACCCCATAGTGTGACCCCGAATCCGATAGCAGTGAAGGCGTGCAGAAGTGAGGTAGTAGACCCAAGTTCGAATCCAGAGACATCTTTCTTTCTTTTTCTTTTTTTTCTTTTTTTTTCGAGCAGGATAAAATGAGTGTGCAATGCTTAGGGCCGGCCAGCTTACTCATGATTCCTCACAGCTTATCCACCGGCGCAGTGCAGCACGTACTCACACCTGCACCAGTTGGTACACCCATGATCTTGGATGATCTATTAAAATACAAACCCAAGTTTGAATCCAGGAACGCTCAGCAATTTTGAATTATATCTCTCTCTGCCCTTTGGCTAAGATTAAGTGGAGTTTCTTTTTTTTTTTGTCTTTCCATTTATTAGGGCCCAGTGCCCAAGGCCATCATACATACTGTGTCCATTTATTAGGGCCCAGTGCCCAAGGCCATCATACATACTGTGGAAAAAGTCAAGTTCCAGATTCAAGGGCCGCTAGGTCTCCAATCCTTTCTGCGAGGTGGAGCCCCTCCCCTGTAGCAAAAGGCCTATACAGGCTCGAACATAATAATCCCAAATTCAACTGCAAGTGATGGGAATCTGAAGTAATACCTGCAGAATTACCTACAAAAATACAACGGCCACAATACCACAGTTTGGAGAACAAAAGAATGTCTGCCCAAGTATCAATGTCTATAATAGTACCTGCCACAGTTTGGGGACTAAAAAAAAAGAAAAGAAAAAAAGAAGGAGACTATCTACCAATCAAAAGAGATCACGGAAGAGTTTACTAAAAAGAATGAACACTTGACAGATTAAGGGCATACTCACAGTAGGAGTCTTTTTCGCAAAATCGTGAAATATGCTGTTCGTTTGCAGTCACAATTTGCCCCCGCCCCCACGCAAACATTGTAGTATATGTCAGCGGCCTGCTGGGCGCGGGGTGCGGGAATTTGCGAGGACCTCTAGAGGTCCTCGCAAATTCTCATTTGCATCGCGGGAATTTCTTTAGAAAAGAAAAGGAAATTGGGCGACGGGCTAGCAACTGTAACGCCCGTCTTCTGCCACTTCTGCTGTCGAATTTGCCTCAACTGCTGGTCACACGCTTTTTGAGTGCATATTTGTCTTCTACTGGAGTAGATTTCCAGTATCCAGCCCTGTTGTCCTCTCTACTGGTTATTTCTCGATAAATGTTTGGAAAAACTAATTTTTGGTCCAGTTTTTCGCAGATGGGTAGAGATATTACATTATAACGCTACAACAAGGGTCATGATCATTGACAATGGTAACCTAGCACCACCCATTGTTCTTGAACGTTCGGTGAGACAAGGAAACCCTATCGCACCCTTTCTTTTTGTTAGTATGATGGAGGCCTTAGCTGCCAATTTGCGACAAAATAGGGATGTTAAGCGTATTCAAATCTCTTACCTTCCCAAGGAGGCCATCCCAGTTTGCTCCCTTTTCGCAGAGGATCTCTCATTGATGGTGGATGCCGCCCATGATAAAATGGAGGAAATCCAAAAATTGTTGAACAAATTCTGCTATCTCTCAGACATGAAAATCAACTGGGGGAACAAGACTCAAGGGTGGTGGATTCATCACCAAGGGGTAAGACCACCAGAATAATCTCACATCAATTGGTTACCCCCCAATATACACATCAGAGTGTTGGGGATAACATTGTTTGTAACAGGCAAACCTTTAGCAAACAATGAATGGATAACTAAACCGGCCTCAACAAAAATGGAACAATGGAAGGATAAACAAATATCTATTATAGGCAGGGCACTTATCATCAATAATGTTATATTCGCTTCCCTATGGTATAAAGCTGCAATTTGGCCTATAGACAAAATAGCTCTCAAAGCACTTACAGAGACAAGCGGCGGCCTATCTTTGGTGAGACAATCATGATCATAAAAATGTCATAAGCAGAGTGGCATGGCAAGCAATAATACAACCAAAGACAAAAAAGTAAAGAGTCAATGAGAAATATTAAATGCTTCAAGAACATTAAGTCCAGACCAGCCAAAGTAGCGGCGCTACAATGACAAATAGAGCACCGATGTCTCCCAGCACAGATATGTACACTTCAACCCTGCCTTTCATTCAACCTCTGAGTTTATCCTTAAGTTTGTCCCGACAGAGCACAATAATACAAAAACCAAACGAAGACAAAGACTAGACAACATCAGCCAAATAACCCCCCCACAGTACCCTTTTGGCTCTACAGACAAAGGTTCAAACCCCATCCGTTTAAAGAGGGAACCTCCCACTTGTCACTTCTAAATATATAGAGTTCTTACCCCTTATTTCCTATATGGTCTCCCGTCTCAATAATAACTTAAGGTTGAAACTTGAAACGTTGGCAAGTCAAAAATGGGTTGGGCACCTCACCATGCCCCCCTTCGCATCATATATCCTCCCCTGCAACTTTTATTCTGAGGTTCGATCTCCCAATGGTCAAATTTACTACCGAGGTCCGCAACTATCTTTGGCGGCTGAAAATTATCCCGTATTGGTGTGTTCGATGCCTCAAACAAGGACTTTTTAATAACTTAGGCCACTTTACACACACTAATCTTACACTCAGTTGTTCATAGTCTTCCCTTTTTTTCATGTTTACGCTTCATCCTGCTTTGGTGAGGTGCGACACTCTCTCTTTTACATAACATGCATAACAAATGTCAACGTTACTGCATTGACCATTGGCGAATGCAAAAAGAGGATATTCAACACAAATGCTTAACCAATCCCCACGCCAATCCACAACACATGCGCTAACAAAAAATTTGACATTTATTCACTAGGGCTGACAAAAATGCAATACTGAAATCACTCCAAAGCCTTTATAGCTAGACTCGACCCTCATCTTGACACTTTTATCACAACTCCTTCCTCGTGTAAATATATGAGCACATACCATTGCAGAGATATTTATTTACTACGATGACAACCACCAAAGGCAAAAGATTGGATAGCAATGACATCCTTCTTTCAACGCCATGTGGTTGACTGGATTTTTAGATATGTTGCTAGGAAAGCGAAACCCCTTGATCACCCACCGGATAGGTTATAAACATAGAGCATTAATCGGTAATGTGGCTTTCTCGAAGAATAAGCGTGTACAAGGTTTATTCCAGAGGGATCATCTCGGAACACATATTTGTTAACCCATGAGAATTGCACTAACCCCGAAGGATCATGTTTAGTTTTAGGTGAGCAAGTGTCCCCAGGCCACTCTTTGAGGATATCCATCACGACCTCACGGTGCCATAATTAAATTTCACCAACCTTGCACATTGTCACGAGTACTTAGGTTAGATGAAAGGTTATGGGACAACAATCCAATTGAGAATCACACAAATTGCTAGGAAGGGCCTACGACCCGCTTAGGAGATCGCCACCCTAAGCGGAGGTTCGCACTCAGACAACGATCCAAGCGTAGTACAGTGCATTCCCCTATGCCATGACTCACCTCGCCTCATTCGCCTCCGACACGAGATGTAAAACTGCCCCACTAGGAACAATAACTCGACGCGTGCAACAAACCCCTCTGGCACGTCATGCATTCACCTCCGGCGCAACATGCATATGCTTCTAGCGATGGTGACACCCTTTTGGAATGGTAAGTTTAGCCTTGCAAACCCCTGTCTTGTCGTTAGGGTTTGTGAAACACGGCTGCAAGGACATACTCCTTTGGTTGTTTTTTCCCTGCCTAGACTATCACACTTCAATAACGAAAGCCGCACAACGTGCTCGAACGCCTTTATCCCGCTATACCCAAGTCTAGTCATCTCTAGCGTATCGCCCCCTCGCGACACTTCAATAAATTACTCGATTGTCCTTCGTCACTTCGTGCAACATGCTGGAAGCTTGATCAAATTCCCATCTAACGATTTGTGCTCTGTTAACTTACCATCCAGCGAGGTACTTGTTTTTATCTTTCTCACTCGTCTTCCTTGTAGAGAATCCATTTTTTTCGTATGAAATGTTAGCATAGATTTTTCTTAATATTTCCCTCACCTGCCTAATTGCGTGTGTGCGTCAGCCAGACGGCGGTCGGTCAGTCTCTCTCTCTCTCTTTGTGGCATGCATGGACCCACCGGAGCAAACATGGCCACGAGTTCAGACGATTGCAACTTCCTGTTCTCTCAATTCTCACTCTCTCATGCATGAGTGCACACACACACACATGCAGACGAGCTTGTTCATGTAAATGTTGGGTGCGCATTCAAACAAGCCCCCATCTTGCCACTGTCCTCTCACTCTCATGTAGACATGCACGCAGGTGCATTTGCTCAAATGTAGCTGAGCACTCTAATGAACATGTGCCACCGCCCCCTTTGCATCA